TATATATATATATTATTATTTTCACAAAAAAATCAATATTCAACCTAGAATTTTTTTTAAAAAAGGTTGGTTTTACATGGCAAAATTGGGCCAAGGTGATTTTTTGGGCCAGACCGGGTCAGTATGATTTTGAAACTGGGCCCATAACTCAAGCCCGAATATAATTTAGTTTGAAATTATGCTGTCTGTAAATAGTTATTTTTAAACTTTTTATTATGATTTTTTTTAATTTATATATATAAAAAAAACTTTAAATTCATGATGAGAAAACGAATGATTGAAAGAATAAGACGGCAATATGTTCCGTAAGGGATGGACTAGTGGTGTAGAGGTTGGATTTGTGACCGTAAAGTCATGGGTTCACGCCTCAGGTCCACCTGCCACACATGGTTTGCTTAGTGTGTCTTTTCCGTCGGGTCTGATTTGCATGGAATTAAGTTCGACCGGAGTTTTACCTAGTGCTCACTTTCGGTAGCAGCTGCGGGTTAAAAAAAAAAAAGACGGGCAATATGGATTTGGAGTTTGTACGAAAATGGTGTGTTGTCTAATTGAATATTAAATATATATTATAAATTTATTAATATACCTTAAAAATATTATATTTAAAATTTATAAAATTTGGGCCATGTCAAATGAGGCATAGTTTTTACAAGACCTACTCCATCGTAGTCTAGACCAAGAGTTTATAAAAAATTATAACCATTAAAGAGTATATTTTTAATACCTACAGTTTATGAAATACATTGATATATATGATGGTAGTTAAAGTGTCGATTGAGTCATATCAGCACTGTATTGATTTGAGCACATTAGCACACTAAATTGAAGCAATTAGTATTTTAGCATATGACAGATAACATATAACCAAGTTAACACACTAATTTGAATATTTCATTATATGGTAAATAGCATATCCTATATTAAACATATGTTATGTGTTATATATACTGTGCTATATGAAATTATATATTAGTATTTGTTGCGTGAGCTATATATTGTGTTGTGTAGAATAATCTGCTTATTGCATGAATATCAAAATATTTTGAGTTATTTATAATTATATAATGTGTTATATATTATATATTCCATCGGTCTCTTAACTATCTATCTATTTTTCTTTCTATTTTAGTCTGTACTAAAACAAATATCAATTTATTTTTTTAGTAACCTTAATACTTCACTATGATAAAATTATCATTAAACTTAATTATATTATAAATATAAAATTACAATACATTTTTACCTTGAGGACATTTTAGTTTTTTTACCTTTATTTCTACCACCTAAATATAATATTAATATTACTAAAACTTCGTGCAAAAAGTAAACGGATAGATAAATATGAGACTAAAAGAATATTATATTAATATGTGTTACTTTCTTTAAAAATATGTACCGATTGAATCAAATTAGCACCATGCTGATTTGATTCAACCAATACAATAACCGACAATAAGTTTTGCAATTTAGAAAACAAAAGATGAAAAATATTTTAGTTACTCCTATACATATGTTTGATTATCATATATATTCTTTTGATTTCACGCGGCAATATTTTGATCATATAATTCTAATAATCCGTGATTTTGTCTATTACTCAGATGTCATAACAACATACAAATAAATAAATAATTGTGAACTATCATACCTATAATAAAGCTACAAAATCACATAATATAATTAATAACCCGACACATATATAAGATAATATATATATATATATATAACAATTTCCCTATATTTCTTGATTCAAATGATCGTACACACTAAGTATCATGTCTTTATATATAGATCATCAAAGGATCGAAAGCATCTTAAAACACAAAATGATGCTCGAATGCAGACAGAAATAATTAAGACATAACCAAAGGCCAAAAAAAGCCTCTGACATTCGCAATGGCAACCAATTTATATTATCAAATCAAGGTGCGATATGAAGACGTTTGTTGATGATCATCTAACCATCGTGTACGCCAATTTGCGCGATCAGAAGTTACCTTGCAGCGACGACTAGATGACCATCAACAAACACATTCATGGCTGCACATTTACAAGCTTTTGTGTATAAATTCAAGATTGGCAGGGAAAGATGAATGAATGAATATCAGATAGAAATCGAAGAAGTCAAGACTACTTAAGTGGATAATGTTTCGATGACTTATATGCAATGTGTGTAAGAACGTGGCCCATATGTTTATTGGGTATTGGAATATTCTTCAAGAATAAACCCTTCTAGCTTGTATAAAATTATTGGCCAACATTTGAATGGACACGTTGCTTGTCAACCTTAGAGAGCTAGGGATTGGACATAATATACATTTAAAAAAAAAAATGGTTTGACCCTATTTTTTAATAATACTCTTTGCACTCCGACTTAAAAGTATTTATTTTTTATTTTTATAGTAGAGCAACAAATAATAATATTTAGGAAAAACTGCAAAAAATATCCCACATGTATACTCCATTATCATTTTTGTCATGTATTTATCTCGCTGACTAAATATATCTTACCTGTTTGCAAAAGTCGTTATTTCTATCATTTGGCCACGCGTGATTGTGCGTAAGGGCGCGTAGTATGAATGTCACGCGCGGACAAATGACATAAATAGTGACTTTTGTAAACATGTGAGATATATTTTGCTAAGGAGATAAATATATGACAAAAGTGATAATAAGGTATAAGTGTAGGATATTTTTTGCAATTTTCTCTAATATTTAATGTGTTAGTGGAAGTGTGTAAAATTATATTGACATTAGCCTTTGGAAATATACAAAAAATCAATATTTTATAAAATTTAAGAGTATTCTGATATATTTGATTACTTCAAAAATGTTTTAAAAAGGAAATATTATATCGATCAAATATTTACTTTCAAAACTATTACCTGTATGTGAGTGCTTAGTGTGACTTACTTTGTTGCTAGCTAGTTTAATATGGAAGCTATTACATTTGCCCGTAAATTTATCTCGTGTGCATACCTAATGTAATTTACCTTGTTGATGGCCTATTTCATATGTTTTTAGGTTCGGTGAAGAATTTGATCAGCGCAAACACTCAAAAGGTCCTACATCATAAAAAATTATATCAATTACCTAAAAATTTTACAAGATCCTAATAAGTTTGTATTTATGCATTCATTTGTGGATTATAATTATGTAACATGTTGAGTACGTTGGTATAAAATACTAACTTACGACAATAATATATATATATTTGTTCATGTTTTATTTTTTTAATTTAAAGTGAATATATATAGTGTTTGTGTTGGCACTGGACCAACTCAACACTAATATAATGTTATCCGCTTGGGCTGAATCCATACGGATTCGTTTGGGATTATAAGGTGTTAGATTTTCTTCAAATCTTCTAATGTGGAACTTGAGTTTGCATCCCAACAATCCTCCCTTCAAACCAAGAACCAACAAATAGCCTCGGGCCTCCTTAGCCACACCGCATATTCCAATCATGAAGTCAACGAGGGCGAGGGCTTCCCACCACCACAATCAATGCCCAATATCATTCAATCCACTTTACTAACGAACCTGGCTCTGATACCACTGTTGGGACTTGGCCAACTCAACACTAGTATAATATTTTCCGCTTTTGGTTGAGCTCGCACGGATTTGTTTTTAAACTTCCTCCAAAAAGCCTCATACTAGTGAAGTTCATGTGGGACTTAAAATGTGCTAGATTTTCTTCAAATATTTCAATGTGGAACTTGAGTTTGCACCCCTGACGGTTTGTTGGTGAATATATTGTCTATATTCAGAATATTTTTTAATTCATAGGTTGATTATATATAACTACTATGCACTATATGGTTAATACAAATATATGGAACATTAACGGTGTGTTTTTTTGTGAAATAATTAGAAAATAATTTTTTTTTGGGTAAACTGTTTTTTTTAGTCCCGTAATTGGACTCCCTTATCATTTTAGTCCCGTAAGTGGAGCCTAACGCAAACTAGTCCCATAAGTGAAAAATTTTCGCTGTTTTAGTCCTCCGGCGCCGGAAGTGCCGGCGTGGCTTGCCGGAGGTGACGTGTCCGCCAGGTCATCGCTGTCCGCGATGACCTAGCGGACACGTGGATTTTATTTTTTTTTTCATTTTTTAAAACTTAATTTTAATTTATTTTTAATTTTATTTGTATTTTTTTAATTTTTTTTATTTGGTACGATTTAAAAAATAAAAAAATCCACGTGTCCGCCAGGTGTCGCTGACCTGGCGGGACACCTGGCGGACACGTTATCTCCGGCGAGCAACGCGGGCGTCTCCGGCGCCGGAGGACTAAAACAGCGAAAATTATTCACTTATGAGACTAGTTTGCGACAGACTCGACTTACAGGACTAAAATGATAAAGGGGTTCAGTTATGAGACTAAAAAAACAGTTTAACTTTTTTTTTTTTTTTTTTTTTAGATTATACTCCCTTCGTCCCATATAAAGAGTAATGTTTATTTTTTGCATGTAAATTTTTTAATATTAATATTATATTGGGTTGTAATAAAAAAGACGAAAATATCCTTATTAGTATTGTGTAATATAAAGGTGGTGTCATTTGTGTAATATATTATAAATTGGAATGATATTTATTATGTTAGATTGGTAATACAGGTACTAAATTAGAAAATAGTATATTTGTTTTGGAACATACGAAAATAAAAAATTAAATCCTTCCTATGGAACGAAGGGAAGTACAAGTTTAAAATAAAAAAAAACTTGCAGATGATGTGGTTATCTAAAATTTAATTAAGCATTTACCGAACTAAATCTTAATTGTTTATTTTATATTAATAGCTCTAATATTAAGAATTATGATTAAGATTAAGGCCTGCTTTAAATTCTGCCGATTCAACATGAGATCCATTTCAAATAAAAAAAACTAAATTTAATAGAAAAATAAGAACCTAATTCCTTTCCCAGATATATATATATATATATTCCCTTTCATGCCAATTCAAAATATGTTTTTATCATTTTCATGGACTAACCAATAAAATACAAAAGATAAATATATTAAAATTATTTAATCAATAAAATATTAATCTAATACAGTAAATGAGTATTTTCGTCCGGGACCTAGGGAACATAAAGATTACGTTGAGAAGGTCTCAACTTTTTATTCCAAATATACAATCCTTTTGTTCCACATTAATCTCTAAAACTATGAAATCTTTACCACAAATGATACAAGACCTCTAGCTAGAAATTTTTGTTCCATTGATGACATGCTTCCTCAATCCCGGAATGTGAATTTCTTGAAAATAGTTTCTCCAATCTATTTTCTTTACGTCGACTTCAAAGTCGAGTCTCTCCTCTTCGGACATTTCTTGCAACAACTTTTGAGTGTTGCCGGTATGGAACCTAATAAAAGAAGAAAGAAACACAATGGGTGTTCATACGTCGAAAATTTTGCATCATTAAGAGTTTCGAAAATTTTGAGAGAACTTCACCATACGTTGCGGGGAAGAATCCGGTGAATTCATACATTTTGCCCAATTGCTTGGCGTAGGCAGCCTTTGCTTTGCATTGACTTATACTTTGCGCACTCTGCCGGGATATTTGCTCTTGTGTGTGTTCAAAGAAGTCTTTGAAATTGTCGAAAAGCTTTATTCTTTCAACAGGTACATCCTCGACTAAAGGTGTTGCGCTAAAATGCTCGTAGAGATATTCGAAGAAGTCTGAATATGTCACGGGATTCAGCGCACTTGACGACACATGATACACATTTAGTTGTGGCTTATTTATAGCTCCATGCTTCGCCATAGCTGCGATGATTGCATTCGCCACAATATCCAAGGGGATCTATACATATATATGTGTGTATATATCGATGTAAGAAAATCAATTGAGTAATTAAATAAATTAGAGGTTCTTTTGCTAATGTCCTAAACTTAATGCTAAGATATTCTTGTTATGCTTACAATATCCATTGCCACTTGAGGATCTGCAAGGAAGGCTGGAAGCTGCCCTTTTCCATAGGAAATTATCATCGGATCGAACATCCTAAAATGTAGAAGAAAAAAAAATGTTGTTAGAAAAGCAAGATTATTAGAAAAAGATATTGATCCAAGAATCACTTAAAGGATGCTAAAAAACACCTATTTCCTTGTATCCATCCGGGCGATGGATCTTTGTAGACACTCTCGATGACGCTTGGCCTAATGATGAGCAACGGTATATCTTCTCGAATTTCATCGAGGACCATTTCTCCCATAGCTTTAGTCATATGATAAGTATTGTGCCATCCAAATAAGTCAGCTCTACAAAAGTTACATCGATTTAATTTGCTAGCAAATACTCCCTCCGTCCCTTTTCAAATGGGTTATTTGAGGTTTTGTAGTAGAGTAACAAGTAATAATATTGATTAGTAAAAATGTAAGAAGTTTTGACATTTTTGCCCTTATAAAGTAATTGATGTGTAATGATATGTTTGTAATTTAAATAAATTATATGAGTATTTTGATATTATTATATTATTATTTTTACTAAAAGTAAAAAGTGATACTTTTGAGTGGACGGGACGAAAATGGTAAAAATTATACTTTGAATTAGGACAGAGGGACATAACATAAACCCACAAAATTAATGAAAAGAGTCGAATTAAAACTAAAGTTTGGTACCAACCTCTCTTGGCCAAGTTTTTTCAAATGTTTGGTTCTGTCGTAATCTGTCGTTGCATTACACGATTTGAAAGCCATGAGTATCTCATCGGATACATCTAGTCGAGGGATCGAAGAAAGGTTATCGCTTATGTCTTTGTGTTTATTCTCTCCCATCATCACCGGCTCTTCGAGTATTATTCCTTCTTTTCTTCCATTTACAAAGGCTACATTACAATATGTTCAACATATATTAGACTTCAACCATCATAAATGGTAAATTTTGCGCGTGCGCACACATATATACACATATTTATACATATGTATATGTACTTGTCACAAGTACATACCAGTTGAAATGTGTGTAAAGAGCTTGAGATTCTTGCATGTCTTGGCGAACCTCATTAGTCGTTGAGGCGCAATCACGTTCGCATCGAGTAACAAGTCGTACCTAAAACAATCCGACACAAAATATCATATCCAATATTTCACCTCAAAACCCAAAACACACAAATCTATATATATGTTTTACTTTGATGGAAATAATTATGAGCGTAGGGAGCCTACGCCTAATGTCCCAAAATTTTGGAGGCCGTATCAATATCTCTTTTACTACATTTTTTTTTATAAATTTAAAATAAATATTTTAATATATGTGTAATATTAAATGTATATATTAAAGTTTATTTGGTTTGTATTTAAATTTGAATTTTTTATTTGAATTTGACTTTAATTTGTATTTTAGTGTATTATTTTTTAAGAAAATAAAATTAATTTAAAAGCAAAATAAAACAAATCTATATTTTTTATGAAAAAATAATAAAACTATATTAATTTTATATTATTTATATAAATAAATAAATGGTCTCTTTTACTTTTTGTTTTTCCAGGCTTGGAGCATTTTTTAAAGTTCCTACTATCTCTATGAACAAATATCTACTAGTCAAATATATCATTATTTTTTTATTGTTCTTAAGTTTCAAACTTAAAAGAAATTTATACATTCATTTTAAACCTACCACCAACTAAAATACATTACTTGGCCACGAAATACGTGGACATTTTTTGGTCATTTAAGATCGTTTAAGGTTTTAAATCAGTGTTCTACTTTTCGACATTTTTAATAAAATTTTGCAATTATTTTTTTTTGGTCCTATTTTATGTTTTCGACTCTATAAATACCTAAGTTTCCTTTTTGTAATTAATTTTCAGTCGATAATAAAATTTTCAATCCTTGATAAAAAAAAAAAGGCTTACCTCTCGTTCAATGTCGCGATAGCTGCTGATCCAATTATCACATCTACATCTCTACTGATCATGTTAGAAGACTCGGGATCCATCCCGAGATTCGGTTTACAGATATTCCCAACAACCGGTATCAATGTCGATTGTACAAATGCTTCCAAGGAAGTCCCCTGCATCTCTCGAAGTCTTTCGAACAAGTCCGAGTCTATTATCTAAATGTCATCAAATAAAAAAGTTATATTAGTATATATGAAACGATATATATTATTCATGAAAATTAAAACAAATGTATATCGATAGATAGTAAATAGAAACTTTTACTTCTTTGGTGATTCGATCAAATGCAGACTCTTTATCCTCAGCCTTGATTAATAAATAGATTTTTCCCACCTCAGTTGATCTTAATATCTTCTCCAAAAGCACTGTTATATTAAACATAGTCATGTAAGCTTAATTGATAAAAATATTGTAAGGATTAGATTATGCCGATGCAATAACAAGAGAATAATTATCGATCAAATATTGAAAATTTTGTGACCAGAAAAACAAACTACTACTTTCGTTCACCAATTATTTTTTGTTAAGAAAGGTTCCAACTTAAAATTAATTAGTACTAAGTAAAGTAGCCCTTGAGCTCCAATAATTTTTTTTGGATGTGGGACAATATTCAACAATTTTTCTTTTTTCTCAACAAAAATTATAGAATTTTCATTTATAGCAATACAAAAATCCCATAACAATTTACACACTAAATTTATCGAAAAATTTCTTCACTTCATTAACTAACCCATGAATTCATAATATATCATACTTTATGTCACAATGATCCATATTTGTGTTCAGTTCATATGGATATAATTTTTGTAGACATATTTAATATTTAAAATTAAAGTCGTAAACCCTAAAGTTCAAACAAAACAAGCACCAAATATATAATCCGAAAATAAAAATAATTGAACATTAAAAAAGCCTAGAAAGTGAGGGAAAAAACAACAACAACGACGAAGACGACAATTTGAAGTCCTAAACAACCTCAAATGGCCGAAAAACATGGTACGTCACCAAAGTGATAGTAGGATCCTCTATCGGAAATAGTATGTAGAGTTCGACGATACCTTTTCCAAGTAGACCAGTTGCGCCGGTGAGGAAAATGTTCTTTCCGGCGAAGAATTTAACAATGCCTATCCCTTCATTATAATCCTCGCCAACATCGAAATCGAATTGATTATATTTAGGGAGCTCCAATTCAAGAGGATGACAAGGAGAAGTGAAGTAGGAGTAGCCATTGTAAAGGACATCAGCTTTCCCACTCTCTTTCCTTTGTGAATATTTCAGATTCTGGTCATGAATGTTAAGGGAAACTGAGATATTTGTTTGTGGGCTTAATTTTGGCAAAGAAATGTTTGTTGAAGAGCAGAAGAATGATGTCTGAGTTAGGGACATTTTTTTTTCTTTTTTTTGCTTGGAATTAATGGAGATTAGTGAAGGTTTTTGTGCTTTGAGAGAAAGGGTTTTTTGTGTAGTTAAGTGAAGGATTTAAAAGTGTATTTATAGGAAGGGAAAGTAGTGAAAATAACATCGGACTTTTCGATATTTCAACACATGAAATAAATTGGAATGAATAATAGGGTGGTTGGGTGATGCCTAAAATCACATGTTAAAAAACATTAGCTCGATGCTTCATTCAGATTACTGAGTTAATGCAGGGGCCCCGACACAAATCGAATCGAATAGAAAAACCCCGTTGTCAATGACCGAAAATATGTAAGAAAAAATGGATAAAGTTGTTCTTTGTAATCTAGGAAATACTAAGAAAAATTGGATAAAGTTGTTCTTTGTAATCTAGGAAATAATAATAATAGTAATACGTTTATAATTTATGTGAAAATTAAAAATATTTTAATATTAATATGATAATCACTTAGAAATTGCATGAAGTAGTGTTCTTATGAAAATAGGAGCTTTGGGCAGATGACCCCTCCCCTTAAAAAGAAATTGTAAAAAGTATTATTTTTAATCTAATTATGTGGATTTGCCCTATAATTAATTTCTATTACTCTTCTTTACCTTCTATTTTATTATTCTAATTTATAACAATATATAATCTTTTTAATTATAAATATATTATAGGAAGAAATACAATTTTTTTTTATGGTTAGGGTGTATTTCATAGGGATTTGTTTGAAAAGATTAGATTTGAATTTTTTATTTAAATAACATTTGAAATAATATTTTCTAAGTTATAAAAAAAGAAAAAAAAAAAAAAGAGAGAGAAAACAGTCATATGTTAAATATGATTCACATGGTATCACTCGTCTAATTTATAAAATATTATGTTAAAAAAAAAAAAAAACTACCTGTTCAAATAAAAAACCGACCATTCACTTAATTCATAGTTCACAATATTTAGTGATATATAAAGTATATATCACTAAATAATTACTCCCTCACTAAATAATTAATCCATCCATAGACATGGGAATTTGAGGTTATAATTAGTGAATAATTAACAATGTATTAGTAATAAAAATAATTTTAGATTAAAATTAAAATAACTAATTAGTTTAATTAAAATTTTTAAAAATATATATATAAATTAAAAATTTTAAAATAAAATTAAAGTTTACAAGTGAACAGACAAAAATGAAAAAGTGGGAGCGGCAAAAATGAATTAAAAACATGCACCGAATTTACAGCCACGTTAATGATTTTCTCTTCACAGCTTTCATAGGCCAAATAGGCAATGAGGTGATCAGTTAATTAGCCAGAAAAATTATACACTTTTTGCCCATGTGTGTTTAGTGATTATTAGTTGCTTAAAGTCCAAGATTAATTAAAGTTCGTCGTAATCTTTCTATTAAAAGTTTATGTTAACTTTTATTTAATTATACATTAAATTAATTAATTTTACAATTATATAATCTATTAATATTATCACTCATGAATATATATAATTACATCTTACAAAAGTAAACAAACTTTGTACTTTTTGTAATTTATGAATATGTATAATAATATACTTTTAATTTATAAAAAAGTTAAAAGTATTTTAGTATCACTGCTTAATTATTTTTACTCTAATAATAAATAGATATTTTTAGTAAGATATTAAAAATTAGTAAATATGGTACTTTCAATTGTGACGGAAAAAATATTATATTGTTTAGTGTTTTGGAAAATATATGAATGAGTTAATGAAATGTGAGAAAAAAAAAATAACGATATGTGTAACGTTGCACGATATAAAATAATAAGTGTGTAAAAGTTATTTGCTATAAATAAAAATTGTATATTTTCTGTAGACAAACAAAAAGTAAAAACAAATATAGATTTGATAGACGGATAAAATATATAAATGAGATAATATTGAATCTATTATCCTTTTTAAAAAAAATAAAATAAAATATTTTGTATTCGAATTTCAATTACTCTTTTAGCCCAAGCCCAATAGGAGCATGTTTGAGTCAAGCTCGAACAAGGAATACAAACTCAATCGACCCTATACCAACACTATACAATTTGGAACAATAACACATATAGCAAATTATGTATACACATCAATCTTACCAAATTAATTTTGTTTCAATTTTTGTCAAGGCCCCTAGCTAGACATTTTATTGCCATTGATGACATGCTTCCTCAATCCAGGGATGTGAATTTCTTGAAAATATTTTCTCCAATCTATTTTCATAACATCGACTTCAAAGTCGAGTTGCTCCTCTTCGGACATTTCTTGCAATAACTTTCGAGTGTTCTCTGTGTGAAACCTAATCAAAGAAAATAAATAAATTTTGTTTACATTTCGAAATTTTTGTAGTACTAATATGTTTGGAATTTTTTTAGATAACTTTATCATACCTTGCCGGGAAGAACCCTGCAAATTCATACATTTTGCACACTTTCTCGGCGTAGGCAGCCTTTGCTTTGATTCGACTTATCTTTTGCTCACTCTTTCGGGATATTTCCTCTCGTGTGTACTCAGAGAAGTCTTTGAAATTGTCAAAGAATTTTATTCTATCAACAGTTACATCCTCAGCTAAAGGTGTTGCGCTAAAGTACTCGTAGAGATATTCGAAGAAGTCTGAATAAGTCACGGGATTTAGCGCACTAGACGACACATGATAGACATTCAGTTGTGGCTTATTTACAGCTCCATGCTTCGCTATAGCCGCGATGGTTGCATTCGCCACAATATCCACCGGGATCTAAATAATCGATGTAAGAAAACCAATTGAGAAATTAAATCACATGTTTTTTTTGGCAAAATTGTAAATTTGACGGTAAGAGATTCTTGTTATGCTTACAATATCCATAGCCACTTGAGGATCTGCAAGAAAGGCTGGAAGCTGCCCTTTTCCATAGGAAATCATCACCGGATCGTACATCCTGAAATCAATGAATGGAAGAAACTATGTTGTTACACTCGACGTGACAATTTGAAATTTTTATGTTGTGTTAAATAATGATTGATAGATGTCCCTTATTCGATTAATTCGCCAAACTTATATACCTATTTCCTTGTATCCATCCGGGGGACGGATCTTTGTAGACACTCTCGATGACACTTGGCCTAATGATGAGCAACGGTATATCTTCTCGGATTTCATCGAGGACCATTTCCCCCATAGCTTTAGTCATATGATAAGGATTGTGCCATCCAAACAAGTCGGCTCTGCAAAGTAAATATCGAATTGTTTAGCATATATAATAGGCTTGGACTGTCTTGAAGTTGGATTCAAGCAATAGAGAAATAAAAGAAATTAAGTATGAAAAGAAGACTAAATTTTGGTACTAACCTCTCTTGGCCAAGTTTTCTCAAATATTTAGTTGTGTCGTAATCTGTGGAAGCGTCGGATGATTTAAAAGCCATGAGTATCTCATCGGATACATCTAGTCGAGGGATCGAAGAAAGGTTATCGCTGCTGTCTTTGCGTTTATTCTCTCCCATCATCACCGGCTCTTCGAGTATTATTCCTTCTTTTCTTCCATTTACAAAGGCTACAATACAATATGTTTAACATATATTAGACTTCAACCATCATAAATGGTAAATTATGCGCGCGCACACACATATATACACATATTTATACATATGTATATGTACTTGTCAAAAGTACATACCAGTTGAAATGTGTGTAAAGAGCTTGAGATTCTTGCATGTCTTGGCGAACCTCATTAGTCGTTGAGGCGCAATCACATTTGCATCGAGTAACAAGTCATACCTCTCGTTCAAAGTCGCGCTAGCTGCTGATCCTATTATAACATCTACATCTTTCCTGATCATGTTAATGGAGTTCGAATTCATCCCAAGATTCGGCTCGCAGATATTCCCAACAACTGGTATTAGAGTCGATCTTACAAATGCCTCCAAGGATGTCCCTTGCATCTCTCGAAGACCCTTGAACAATTCCGAATCTATTATCTAAATGTCAAAAAAGTTAAATTAATAAATATGAAAGAATAAAATTAAAATAAGTAGCCATGAAGAGTAACACAAAAAAAATAGAAATTTACTTCTTTGGTGATTCTATCAAACGCAGCCTCTTCATCTTCAGCCTTGATTAATAAATAGATTTTTCCCACTCCAGTTGATCTTAACATCTTCTCCAAAATCACTGAAATATTAAACATACATCATGTAAGATTAATGTAAAAAATTGTAAAGATTAGTGTTTGAAAAACTCGATGCTACCTTTCCCGACTAGACCAGTTGCGCCGGTGAGGAAAATGTTCTTTCCGGCGAAGAATTTAACAATGCCTATCCCTTCATTATAATCCTCGGAAACATCGAAACCGAATTGATCATGTTTAGGGAGCTCCAATTCAAGAGGGTGACAAGGAGAAGTGAAGTAGGAGTAGCCATTGTAAAGAACATCAGCTTTCCCACTCTCTTTCCTTTGTGAATATTTCAGATTCTTGTCATGAATGTTAGGGGAAAATGAGATGTTTGTTTGTGGGCTTAATCTTTTTGAAGAAATCTTTGTTGGAGGGCAGAAGAATGAAGTCATAGCTAGGGACATTTTCTTTTTGTTTTTTTGTTCGTTTCTTTTAACTGTTGGGATTAATGGAGATTATTGAAGGTTTTTTGCTTTGAGGGAATGGGATTTTGGTGTGGTTTATTGAATGATATCAAAGTGTTTTTATAGGAAGGGAAAGTAGTGTAGTGTAGATAAGATTGGAATTGGACATTTGAACACATGGAAAGAATTTGGAATTAATTATTTAATTCATCACAAACCACCCTATTAATAATAAATGGGTGGTTATGTGATGCCCTACGTCAGATGCTTCATTGATCTTTCTGTCTGCCAAATTATTTAAAAAACGTGATCCATATATACCTCCCCATGTGTTTATTTTCTAGTACTTGTGAACTATTTCTTCTTGCTTTATTTCTTGTTCCAAGATGTGACCTCAACACGTTGGAAAATAACAATATAGGACTACTGGCTCACCTCAAATATACGCGGAATTCAAATATAACAAGTTTTTACCATTAAAATTTTTTTTCCTCAAAAAATATCACATTAAATAATTTTTTATATTATATTACAAATATATTTTACATTCAAAATATCACATCAAATAACTATTCAAATTCAAATTTTTACTATTCAAAACTCCAAACCCAAAAACTAAAACCCACAAACAAATACAACATAGGTTTCCGATATTTTGGAAACATTAAAGAATTTAACAAACACTGAAAAATGCTATTTTCGTTCGATAAATTTATGTGAGTTTTCTTGTACACGTAGACTAAAAAATAATAATATTTTAATATTAAAGTGGCAAGTAAAAAATAAAATTAAGGTTTATAGAAAATTTGTTAATGAATGAATAGAAAAGTAGTGGGGTGTGTGAAAAAATAATGACAAATTATTATCATTTGTTAAAATAGAAGTAATAAAATTGTGAATGAATAGAGTATTTTACTATAAATTTCAGATCGTGCATAAGTTTAATGGACGGTAAAAAAAAATAATACTAACATAATTTTAGTGAAGGAAAATAGTATGTGATTTCAAGTAAATATTAAATATGATAGGTTTGTAGAAAAATGACTAATGTCTTTAAATATATATGTACGTGTGGTAATAGATGGCAAATAAAATAAATAAAATTTTTATTTTAAAATTTTGAAGTTTTGAAATATTTAAAACATAATAATAATAATAATTTGAATATTTGATTTAATATTTATGAAACAAAATTTTGAAAATTTAAATCTACCGTAGAGGAATATAATAGGATCAAAAGTGATTTTCATATATGGGTAAGTAGAACCTAATTATGTATTTTTAGGGAGAATTTGCAATGAATAGTACAAAGTAAATAAATTTGAAAAATAAAATAAAATAGTAAGTATATATTATAAATCGTGTAAAAATTAAATTAAATATATAAGTAATAGAGTCAATTATTAATATCATGTCAGTCAACGCATTTAACATAATTATATTTGAATTAATAAAAAATAAAAGATGTATGATTTTATTTAATTTAGTATCGATCAATGTAAACATTAAATAATACAAGACAATAATACTTTGCCTCAATTTTTTATGTTTGATTTATCTAATGCATATTCGATTTATTATTTCTTCAGAAAAAGTTTCAGACATTTTGATGACAAATTTTCAATTTAATTTTTTACGAATGTTTTGTAAAAATAACATGACAATCGCATCGCGCGCGTGTCATTTTTTTCGATTTCTTAGTTCCGATTTAGGAATTTTAAATTGGAATTAGCAAGGGATACTAGAAAAAATTGAAAAATATAACTTTCATTTATACCAAACTATCATTTTTGTCTCTTATATTTTTATGTCGTTAATAAAATATATTATACATGTTTGCAAAACTCGTTGTTTCTATCATCCGACCGCACGTCATTTTTATACAACGGTTGTTCTACGCACAACTGAAAGACATAAATTATGACTTTTGCAAATGTGTAAAATATATTTTACTAACGAGATAAACAAAAGATGAAAGTGATAATTAGGTATATATTAAGAATATTTTTTGCGATTTTCCCGAATATACTACATCATAATAAGTGACCTCGTAAAAGAAAAATTAAATCTCTTCTTCGACCTTACTTGCAATGGATTTATATGATACAAATCAAGAAAAAACACAATGTAAATAAAGTATCTTTATAAGAATTTTTATTAAAATTTGTGTTTAAATATTTGAGCACACAATTGAATAAAAAGGGAGTATTATTTCCTGAAAAATATAAATAAAGTAAAATATGTGCTTTAAAACATTTTCAAAGTGTATGATTGGACATCGACAAGTTGTTTGGGGTGGGAGGGAAGAATATTAAATGTTCTTAGACAACGCTATTAGGACACGAGATTTTTAAAAAATTTAACTTTTTATGATTAGACCGTAATTTCTTCCAAGTGTATATAAATTGAAAATATGGAGACAATATTACTATTTTCAAAAGTTTACTATTATTTATTTTATTTTTTTTGAAGAGATTAAATACTAGGAAATTAAGGAAAGAGTGGATATATTTTGTCGTCCACAAATAATTAACGTATTTTTTTTATTTATCTAATAACTATGGATATTAAAATATTAATATAATCATTTGAAAATTAATAACTTGACAGGTTGGAGATCATGGTTGTGATTTTTCAATCTATTCAATAAAACATTTGAATTTAATCTCGTGAATTTAGAGATAAACCACAATGAAATCGAAGTGAATTAAATGCTGAAAAAAAATATATTGAAATTGAAAGTATGGAAAGAATTAAAACTGAAATTTAAATTAATGCATAATTGGAAGAAAATTGCAGGAATTAAAATTAAATCAAATATTGGGAAATGTATAAAAATATTAGAAATATAATAAAATATACAAATTTAAACATATAGACATAAAAATAAAAATAATAAGAACACACAAAATATTACTCTATCATATCTTCTTAATTTTACATAATTCACAAAAATATATAAAATCATACAATTAAATAAACACACTAAAACATACAAATAAATAATTTAAAAATTAATGTAAAAATCATTTATTTAAAAAATAATTATAAAATAAATTTTTATTTAAAATTTTATTTTATATATTCTAATAATAATAATAATAATAAATAATAGTATATATATATATACATAGATTATTGTGTGTGTTGCACCCTTCCCTTATTGATCCATATACATACATACATATCTGCAAATGCAAATCATCATCTCAATTCCTGCTAGCAAAATGTGCTGGATTTTCTGAGCCAGTTCCTCTGCACTCAGCTGGCATTCAATTACCAAGAAATAACACATTATAACTAAATTATGGTTGCAATGTACTGGTAATTGCAGGAATTGCTAATTCTTGTTTTGCAACGGCAGGAAATGCTGCTGCTACTATCCCTACTAGTTGTACTAAATTGGCAAATACTTGAGAAACTAAGACAGAGACGATGATGGCAGTGAGTATTGATTCGGATATGCATAAAGAATCAACATCAATCAAGGTCAATTCATTCTCCCGGTCGATCGATCACTGGAGAAACCAACCAACCAACCAACCGCATTCTGCTACATCAGAAAGAAAAGGTACACCCTGATGACCAGAGCGCAGCAGTAGCAGTAGCAGTTGCAGGCTTTGTGGACAGATGAAAGAAAAGGATATGATAGAGATTTTTATAGGGAAATGCGAGAGCGTACTGAGAAGATGAGAGTGAGAGATAGGTCCTTTGAGAGAGATCTAGAATCCAAAAAAGCTATCTGTTGGTTGTGTTGATAGAATCCAAGAAAGACCCAAGAATTCAAGAAAGAGGTGCAGAGAGAGAGAGCAATTTCGATAGGATAGCTAAGGATGACATGAAAGAGACAACAAAGCATCTATCTATCTATCTATCTATTTGTAGATGATTGCAGATTTCACGGGCAAGGTTTAGGTTTGCCTCGCATCAGCTCCCTCATCCTGTTGAACGCAAGCAGGAGGGATGAGGATCGATGTTGACAGACGATTGCCAGACATGGCCAAAAGATAGAGAAAGGCGAACATCTCCTCCACCAAATTAGGCCCTGCCTGCCTGCGAACTCCACCTCCACTTCCACTTCACCGACTATCTCTATCTATCTATCTATCTATCTATCTATTATACAAATAATCCCCAAATTAAACCAAATATTTATAGGGATTGTCATATATTACCGTTACTTAATATAAGGTAATATTACCATAATTATAATTTATTAAATCTTTTTAGTTTTATTTTATTATAACTTATCATATTTACTATATTTTCAAATTTTTAAATATTTTCAATTTTATTTTATTTTAAAATTTTTTAAATATTTTTAGTTTTATTTTATGTTATAACTTACCATATTTACTATATTTTCAATATTTTCAGTTTTATTTTATTTTAACAAATTATTAAATATTTTCAATTTTATTTTATTTTAACAAATTATTAAATATTTTTAGTTTTATATTATTTTATAACTTACCATATTTATTATATTTTCAAATTATTAAATATTTTAACAAATTATTAAATATTTTTAGTTTTATTTTATAACTTACCATATTTATTATATTTTCAAATTATTAAATATTTTCAGTTTTATTTTATTTTATAACTACTATAATTCAATTCTATTTATATATATATAAAGACTTATTCTAACTTACCATATTTAAATCAATCAAACATTATATTAATTCTCTATCTCTATCTATATCTTTTTTATTACTATACATGTGTAAAAGCAATTTATTGGTTGGATTTTCTATTTGTGCCTTCAAAATAATTACATTCAATTATATTAATTAATAATGCATGCAAATCCCGCGATATAAAAATAATCCTAACTCTATATGCAATATGATAAAATAATCCAATTTATTGGTTGGATTTTCTATTTGTGCTATCAAAATAATTACATCCAATTATATTAATTAATAATGCATGCAAGTCCCGGGACGTAAAAATAATCCTAACTCTATATGCAATATGATAAAATAAATGCAATGCATAAATATAAAAGAGAGAAGTACGAAAAACTCCCTGTTTTGTTTTCGGTAGTTTGCTCATCCGGCCGCTCCCCCCAAAAGCTGTACCTACAAACTAAAAACATCACTAGAAAACGTCAATTAAATATATATTCGAATGCATTCACAACATCAAACAAACAAACAAACAAACAACAATAATGCAAAATCAATTAGGTTTTAGAGAGCCACAAAAACTAATATCTATCTATCGATCGATTACACAAATGGTTTAGGAAAGAAGTATAAACAAAATAATACCCTGCTCTTTTCTTCTATCTCTATCTTATACACAACAAACTGTCTGCACTCATCTCGTGATCACAAAATTCAGATCCACTCAGTAATGATAATGGCTGTTTTCTTGATTGGACAGCAACGAATAATATATATATATATAATCCACACTCCAATCAAAAATCAAAAATTAAAAATCAAGAATCAAAAATCAAAAATCAAAATCACATTAATTACCAAATTAGGCCCTGCCTGGGGCTTATGACCACGGCTTCCGAATGCGCTGCTTCTTGGCCTCGCAAGATTTGCTGCAGTTCCTGGATTTAATCCACCACGCCGCCGATTATGGACGTCTGCTCGCCGCCTTAATATATATATATATACATCCATCATTTTGTTAGTTAATCAGCATCTGATAATCCCCAAAATCCCCCAATTAAACCTCGTAAACCCTAAATTAGTTAATTAATTAAATACTTACTCGCTTGACGGCATGAGAGAACGAAAGACGGCGAGATGGTCGTTCATTTGCTTCCGGCGGTTTTTCCCCACCGCGCAATTGCTCCCAAGCACCGACCACACCACGCAAGAAAATTAAACCAAAAGAATTTGATAAAATAAAATATTAAACCAAATATTTAAAAGAATTGTGATATGACCGTTAGTTAATACAAGGTAATATTACCATATTTATTATATTTTAAAATTATTAAATATATATTTTCAGTTATATATATTTTTTATTTTATTTTATAATTTACTACTACTATAATTCAATTCAATTCAATTAATTTTTTTTTTTAAAAAAAAAAAAGATTTATTCCAACTCAGCATATTTAAATAAATAAATGTAAATATACATACGGAATATATTTTACCATTTTCCCATAAGGTAAAATTCAATTTAGAAACCAAATTATTCATACTCGCTAAAAATGAACTTTTAGAAACCAACGTCCATTTTATTCATATGAATAATTTTACTAATTCTTTTAAGTTTTTTCAGAATTTTGGATCATATCATTCATGACAAAAGAACGTAAAAATATTTGTTGATTCAGTTTGATTAATTAATATAATTTATGTCTAAGAGCGGCTACGCCAAATATTTGAATTAGAATTGTCAGATTATTAAAAAAATACAAGGTCAAACTCTAACACGCACATTAATGTATTGTACGGACTATAAAAAAAATTTCAGGGGTGTGCCCCCGAACCCCAACAGAGTCGGAAGGTCTTGTATTTGGTCTTATAGTCTATTTAAATGAATATGTATCATTTATTTAAATACTTTGAAATCAACTAACATACTTACATTTATCTATATATATATTATGAAGTCAATCAACAAGTCTCTGTAATCAAAGTGACTTCACTTCATATATAGATAAATTTGAAGGGATGTGCATCTTTTATTCATATATATATATATATATATATATTATGAAGTGATTATCTTATCTAACCATTTAAGTTTTTAAATAAAATGATCGATAATGAAATCCCGAAAAAATCATAAAAGATCACAAGATTAAATAGAATGCATCTTATTTCTGCAATTAAACACAACAAATAATAAATTAAAACGTACTGTAACTGAAAGGAATTATGAAATTGGAATTGTATATTTGAACACATGAAAAATAATAATTTGGAAAATAATAGCGATAGGGACAACTAAAAATTAGACATAATATGAAATATAAAACACTATTTTCAAATAAATATATTAGATCAAATTATTGTAGGATTTATATATTTCCCTTTCGGATGGTTTATTCGGAAAAGTGATAATATATAGTAAAAACTGGTGTTTGTTTGTGGGTTTTCAAACCGAAATGTACTATTTACTTAATTATTAATTTTTTTTCTTTAAAAAACATCATCAACTTTGTGTTTTTTTTTTTAATTATTTTTTATATTAGCTAAAATTAGTTTTATATTATATCACATCAATATTTACTTATATCATATTAAATAACTATTTCAATTCAAAATTATACTATTTAAAATCTTAAACTCAAAAACCCGCAAACAAACAACCCATTAAAAATATATATTCACTACATCCAGTTACAAAGTATATATATTTCTATTCTGACGTCCACTTACAAAGTAAATATTTTATTAAATATCTCATTTTTTTTTCCACAAATACCCTTACTTTACATCGCATCATTACTTTTACCCCAAAAAGTAAGGGCAAAAATGTCATTACACCACTTTTAACTATCCACTATAGTTAAAAAACTATTATTTTTTAAATACCGCGTCAAAAATAAATGTTTACTTTCTATGTGAACTATGTGGACGGAGGGAGTATTTAGTCGAGTGTTTCCAAATTTTACTATTTGGACTCGGCGTTTTTTCACTACATTTTTTTTTCTTTCACAAAATATCTCATTAAACATTATTTTTTACCTAATCCAAATCAATTTTTTTTCCAAACTCACCAAAATCAAAAGAAACACATTCTAAATTTTCAATTATATTCATATTTAATATATATAAAAGTAGTCAATAATATATTCCTTTCAAATGGTTTATTTGCATTAAAAGGTACGGGACAATACTGTTTTCATGAATGATTTCCATGGTAGCTAGCTTTCAAATCAAATTGATGAGCATTTATTTCTTTTTCTAAATAATTGATTGTAAAAATTATGAAAAATTGGCCGCAATGTTTTGCATGCCAAGTTGAAGATGTTTATTCTCTCGTCTAAAATTATTATTTTTTTAATATTTTTTTCCTTCTAATTCAAAATATTTTTTTATATTTATTTTTTTATAATAAATTAAGAAATAATAGTATTTTAATAGTTAAAACAATGTAAGATTGTTTTAACATTTTTGTCTTTGTAAATACAAATTAAATAAATATTTTTGTAAAAGTGAAGGGTATTTTGATATTTATATATGGATTACTTTTATCATAAAAAAAAAAAAAAATTGATACTTTTAAATAAGATAGACGAAAATAGTTAAAATAGTATATTGAGTTGAATCCAAAAAAAATTGTGTTTGTTTGGGGGTTTGGATTTTGAGTTGGGATTTGAATAGTAAAAATTTTGAATTTGAATAGTTGTATGATGTGATGTTTTGAATGTAAAATTGATTTTTAGTATAATTAAAAAAATAAAAAATAGGTATTTGATTTGATTTTTTAGGGGGGAAAAAATTAGATGAATAGTGGATTTAAAATTGAGCAAAAGACTTGTGGACTAAAAAATAAGTCATAAGTATTTTTATTTTTTTTTCTAATGTAGAAATGTTAAATTGAGCTTTCAATTCTCCTTAAATATATTATTATATTTAATTTTTCAATTTTTTAAAACTATTATTATACATGTGTAAAAAGTACAATCGATAATTGTGTATACGCAAGAATATATCTTACAACATATCAGTGAAACATTTTTTTTCTTGCTTCAACTCTTGCTAGACATTTTCATGCCATTGATGACATGCTTTCTCAATCCAGGGATGTGAATTTCTTGAAAATATTTTCTCCAGTCTATTTTCATTACGTCGACTTCAAAGTCGAGTCGCTCCTCTTCAGACATCTCTTGCAATAACTTTTGCATGTTTCCGGTGTGAAACCTAATAAAAGAAGGGGAATAACAAAAATGTTGTTTATATTCGAAAAATTCGAAAGCATTAAGAGGAGAGGGATACATATTTTTGATAAAAATTTATTTTACCTTGCCGGGAAGAATCCTGCAAATTCATACATTTTGCACACTTGCGCGGCGTAGGCAGCCTTGGCTTTGCATCGACTTAACTTTTGTCCACTTTGTCGGGATATTGCCTCTCTCGTATACTCAGAGAAGTCCTTGAAATTGTCGAAAAAACTTATTTTTTCAACTGTTGCATCCTCGACTAAAGGTGTGGCACTAAAATACTCGTGGAGATATTCGAAGAAGTCTGAATAAGTCACGGGATTCAGCGCACTTGATGACACATGGTAGACACTCAGTTGTGGCTTATTCACAGCTCCATGCTTCGCTATAGCCGCAATGGTTGCATTCGCCACAATATCCACCGGAATCTAAACATACACACATCCATGTAAGAAAATCAATAGAGAATATAAATCACACTTTTTTTTGTAGTATCCTAAATTTAATGGTAAGAGATTCCTGTTATGCTTACAATATCCATAGCCACTTGAGGATCTGCAAAGAATGCTGGAAGCTGCCCTTTTCCATAGGAAATCATCACCGGATCGTACATCCTGAAATCGATCATTTGAAAATTTTTTATGTTATGTTAAATAGTGGTTGATAAATTACAAATCATTCAAAAGATTTAAAACAATACCTATTTCCTTGTATCCATCCGGGGGACGGATCTTTGTAGACACTCTCGATGACGCTTGGCCTAATGATGAGCAACGGTATATCTTCTCGGATTTCATCGAGGACCATTTCCCCCATAGCTTTAGTCATATGATAAGGATTGTGCCATCCAAACAAGTCGGCTCTGCAAAGTAAATATCGAATTGTTTAGCATATATAATAGGCTTGGACTGTCTTGAAGTTGGATTCAAGCCATAGAGAAATAAAAGAAATTAAGTATGAAAAGAAGACTAAATTTTGGTACTAACCTCTCTTGGCCAAGTTTTTTCAAATATTTAGTTGTGTCGTAATCTGTGGAAGCCTCGGATGATTTAAAAGCCATGAGTATCTCATCGGATACATCTAGTCGAGGGATCGAAGAAAGGTTATCGCTGCTGTCTTTGCGTTTATTCTCTCCCATCATCACCGGCTCTTCGAGTATTATTCCTTCTTTTCTTCCATTTACAAAGGCTGCAATACAATATGTTTAACATATATTAGACTTCAACCATCATAAATGGTAAATTATGCGCGCGCGCACACACATATACACATATTTATACATATGTATATGTACTTGTCACAAGTACATACCAGTTGAAATGTGTGTAAAGAGCTTGAGATTCTTGCATGTCTTGGCGAACCTCATTAGTCGTTGAGGCGCAATCACATTCGCATCGAGTAACAAGTCGTACCTAAAACCATCCAACGCAAAATATTTATTTAAGATCAAAGTCTTTTATTGTACTACAATTGTTGTTTATTGATCAAATAAAGGCTTACCTCTCATTCAATGTCGCGCTAGCTGCCGATCCAATTATAACATCTACATCTTTCCTGATCATCTTAACAGAGTCAGAGTCCATCCCAAGATTCGGCTCGCAAATATTCCCAACAACCGGTATCAATGTTGATCTTACAAATGCTTCCAAGGATGTCCCATGCATATCTCGAAGACCCTCAAACAAGTCGGAGTCGATTATCTAAGTGTCAAGAAAGTAGAAATTTATATTAGCTCATATAAAAACTAATAATTTTTCTTAAAGATTAACGCAGAAATGAAAACTTACTTCTTTGGTAATTCTGTCAAACGCAGCCTCTTTATCTTCAGCCTTGATTAATAAATAGATTTTTCCCACTCCAGTTGATCTTAACATCTTCTCCAAAATCACTGAAATATTAAGCATATATCATGTAAGATTAATGTCAGAAATTGTAAGGATTAGTGTTTGAAAAACTCGATGCTACCTTTCCCGACTAGACCAGTTGCGCCGGTGAGGA